TACAGAGAGAATAAAATACCTAGGAATCCAACTTACAAGGGATGTGAAGGACCTCTTCAAGGAGAACTACAAACCACTGCTCAATGAAATAAAAGAGGACACAAACAAATGGAAGAACATTCCATGCTCATGGATAGGAAGAATCAATATCATGAAAATGGCCATACTGCCCAAGGGTAATTTATAGATTCACTGCCATCCCCATCAAGCTACCAATGATTTTCTTCACAGAATTGGAAAAAACTACTTTAAAGTTCATATGGAACCAAAGAAGAGCCCAGTGACATTGCCAAGACAATCCTAAGCAAAAAGAACAAAGCTGGAGGCATCACACTACCTAACTTCAAACCATACAAGGCTACAGTAACCAAAACAGCATGGTACTGGTACTGAAACACCATCTGATCTTTGACAAATCTGACAAAAACAAGAAATGGGGAAAGGATTCCCTATTTAACAAATGGTGCTAGGAAAACTGGCTAGCCATATGTAGAAAGCTGAAACTGGATCCCTTCCTTATACCTTATACAAAAATTAATTCAAGATGGATTAAAGACTTAAATGTTAGGGCCAGGTGCGGTGGCTCAAGCCTGTAATCCCAACACTTTGGGAGGCTGAGAGGCTGAGGTGGGTGGATCTCCTGAGGTCAGGAGTTCGAGACCAGCCTGACCAACATGGACAAACCCTGTCTCTACTAAAAATATAAAATTAGCTGGGCGTGGTGGCACATGCCTGTAATCCCTGCTACTTGGGAGGCTGAGGCAGGAGAATTGCTTGAATCCAGGAGGTGGAGGTTGTGGTGAGTCGAGATTGCACCATTGCACTCCAGCCTGGGCAACAAGAGCAAAACTTCATCTCAAAGAAAAAAAAAAAAAACTTAAATGTTAGACCTAAAACCATAAAAACCCTAGAAGAAAACCTAGGCAATACCATTCAGGACACAGGCATGGACAAGGACTTCATGACTAAAACACCAAAAGCAAAGCCAACAAAAGCCAAAATAGACAAATGGGATCTAATTAAACTAAAGAGCTTCTGCATGGCAAAAGAAACTACCATCAGAGTGAACAGGCAACCTACAGAATGGGAGAAAATTTTTGCAATCTACCCATCTGACAAAGGGCTAATATCCAGAATCTACAAAGAACTCAAACAAATTTACAAGAAAAAAACAATCCCATCAAAAAGTGGGCAAAGGATATGAACAGACACTTCTCTAAAGAAGACATCTATGCAGCCAACAGACACATGAAAAAATTCTCATCATCACTGGTCATTAGAGAAATGCAAATGAAAACCACAAAGAGATACCATCTCATGCCAGTTAGAATGGCAATCATTAAAAAGTCAGGAAATAACAGATGGAGAGGATGTGGAGAAATAGGAACGCTTTTACACTGTTGGTGGGACTGTAAACTAGTTCAATCATTGTGGAAGACAGTGTGGCGATTCCTTAAGGATCTAGAACTAGAAATACCATTTGACCCAGCAATCCCATTGCTGGGTATATATCCAAAGGATTATAAATCATGCTACTATAAAGACACACGCACACCTATGTTTATTGTGGCACTATTCACAATAGCAAAGACTTGGAACGAACCCAAATGTCCATCAATGATAGACTGGATTAAGAAAATGTGGCACATATACAGCATGGAATACTATGCAGCCATAAAAAAGGATGAGTTCACGTCCTTTGCAGGGACATTGATGAAGCTGGAAACCATCATTCTCAGGAAACTATCACAAGGACAGAAAATCAAACACTGCACATTCTCACTCATAGGTGGGAACTGAACAGTGAGATCACTTGGACACAGGGCAGGGAACATCACGCACCGGGGCCTCTCGAGGGGTGGGGGGCTGGGGGAGGGATAGCATTAGGAGAAATACCTAATGTAAATGACAAGTTGATGGGTGCAGTAAACCAACATGGCACATGTATACCTATGTATCAAACCTGCATGTTGTGCACATGTACTCTAGAACTTAAAGTATAATTTAAAAGAAAAGAAAAGAAAACATCTAGCTATTTCAATAAATCCAAGTTGTCAGGTCCTGACAAATTATATACCTTGGGTTAACAAATGTGATTGCGTAACTTCTGATCAATGACATTTGAGAAATTGCAAGAAAAATGCCATATCATCCGCTAGGTTAAATGCTATTCCTATTTTCAGAAACAGGAAAAAGGCTTATCTCCTAGTCTATAACAGGGTACATTCAGAGCGACTAGAACACCAACAAACATGTATTAAATGCTTATTTTCAGTCAGATGCCATGCCAGGCACTTTTATTATACATTAACTCATTTAATGTGAATCCCTAGATAAAAACAGATTATTATTCATTCATATACTCCTGGTTGTACTAGAACAAGTCATGCCAAACTTACATTTTTTTGTTTCTGAAGGGAGATACGGTAGGTAAACAAAGTCATTTTATGAAATATTTTGGTATCTACCTAAGAACAAACTGGAGTCCTGGAGCCTGGGTGAAAATACAGAGTCTTGCTAGAATGTTGCCCTCCATGAGAGCAGATACACCATTTGTCTTGTTCACTGTGGTATCCCTAGAGGTACAACAGTGCCAGGGACCCAAAAAACACTCATTATTTGCTGAATGAGAGATGGCTCACAGCTGACTTGAGTGTCAATACTCGGAGAACGTTCATTGGGTGCTCCATGTCAATTTATGGCACAGGGTCTCTAGGAAGGCTTTGAGGTTGACCTTAACCCAGTTTAGCTCAGTATTTTAATCAATATCTTGAATGAAGATAACTTATCACATTCAAAGATAACACCAAGGGCAGCTAACTTATTAGAAGGCAGAAGTTAGGATTTAAAAAGATCTCCATGGCTAGGAGAGCTAGGTGAAATTAACAAGATAGAAGTTAAGAGGATAAGAAAGAAAGCCTTGTACTTGGGATTAAAAATTAACTGTACAAAAGGACAAGGGAAATCTAGATTAAGAACAGTTCATCTATATCAACCCAAAAGTTCTGCAAGCTCAGTAAGAAGCAAAAGTCTGACAGGTTTGTCAAAAAAGCTAATGCAATTCTAGGTGGTATTAAGAGCAAGGTCGGGGAGAATGCTGATGTCCTCTTCAATAATATTATCATCTTTGGGGAAGGTACTCAGTTCTGGGAATCATATTGTAAAAGGATCCGTAACTCTGTGTGTTACAGGGGAGGGGAGGGCAGGATCTAGGCTAGGAAATGCTCTGGAAACCAGACAAGAGCAACTGAAGGAAAGAGGATGTTTAAACGGGGCGGGGGAGACTTTTTGGGGTGGAAAGGGAGCGAGGTACAGCACAGTACTATCTTTAAATACAGTAAGCTATCTAATGAAAAAGCGACTTGGCTAGGGATGGCAAATGAGTTTCCTTTCATGAGCGAATTCTAATCAACTGGTAGTGACTGCCAGGAACTGGTGCTGAGAAAGATTCTGAGCCTAAGTGTGGTCAGCAGGAAAGAATGCTGTGATCAATTATCCATGCCTGCTATGAATTTGGGGAAGTGCAGTGCCTACAGGAGGGCCAAGTATTTGCTGACTCTGGACTATACAGACTTATTCCAAACCATTCCATAGGCCAAGCCCAGGACTGCTCATTTGAAGTCACTGGGAAACTAGAAACTAAGGGGTGGCTGGCACAGCACCAGTGCCAGAGTGGCAAGATGCTCAATGAACTTGGAAGTCCCTTCTCATTTTAAGTTGCAGGCAAATGCAAGATAAAACTCATGGACTCCAGTTCCAAAGACATCCATTTTTGTAGCAAGCCTCCTTACAGCCTCCATAGAAGAGCTGCTAGAAAAACTGCCCTGTGCTCCCGACAGCAGTGGTTTCAGTTGTTCCACAGACCTGGGGTCATGAGACTAAACTGGTATGGCATGGGATATGTCTATTGCCATGAGGAGGGGCAGTAGGAATACTACTGACAGGTCTCTAATGTGACATTTTCCTATTAGTATTATAAGCAATTCTCTCACCCCTTAGAAGTTATGCTAGGTTTTCGAGAACATTTTATCTAATTATATTCATGTATTTAACTGTGGGACCAAAGGTGGGGGTGGAAGTGAGGGGGTCTTCAGGAACATTTTTTTTTTTAAACCAGTGGACAAGCGATTCTACTTAACATTTACAACATATCAACATCTTTTCAGAACACTATTTTCATCATTCCACTCAAAAGCCTTGATGCATCTCAGCTACAGGATCATGTACTAGTACTCAAAACAGAGTCCCACATTGCTCCACATGTCTTTTCTCAGCCCTGTTGTTCCACCTCTGCTAGCGTTGACTCGTTTACTTATTTTTTCTCCCAAATTCAGTTTGACTGTATCCAGTTCAGAGCTGCTATTATTTCTCTCTTCATGCCTGGAATGTTCTCCTTGATTCTGTCTGCAACTACTACCCATCCTTTAAAATCCAACTAAGCCTCTCCTCCTCTTCAATTGTTTCCAACAAAAACCTACAGGTTCTCCACCTCCTATGAAGTCCTGTCACTCTTACTGCCTCTTAAATACTTTTAAGTTTTTCACAGCCAGAGATCAAAACTCATTGTACTCATCTTCAATGCTGTACACAAAGCTGACATCCAATTTTGTCCTCACAGGACTTAGATACCGTATAAGGCTTATATTCCCAGCACACAACTCTGGAATCAGGCTAGATTCCTCACTGCCCCCAAGAAGATCGTGGCTTTTTGTTTTCTTTTAATGATTCCTTTGCTCATTTTTCCCCTTCCTGTGATGTTCTCCTTTTTGCTTACCACCCGAATCCTACCCATCAAGGCCCTGATAAAGTCACTCTTTTTCCACAGAGATGATCTGGATTACTTCCATCTTCAACCACCTGCCCTTTAAAATCTTTATCCAGTCTACAATGCATCTTAGTTCTTGTTCAATTCTCTGGCCGTAACATTTTCATTATTGCTTCTGAGAGGTTTGGTTCTTTTTCTTTCTAATTACATTTAAGCATCATGAGGACTGGCTCACCTTTACCTCACAGCACACAATGGTTGGTACTCTAAAACGTTTAGCTCTGTGGATCTCAACCCGGAGCGATCTTGCTTCCAAGAGGACATCTGGCAATATCTGGAGACATCTTTGGCTGTCACACTTGGGGGAGAAGGTGATACTGACAAAATAGAGAGCAAGGATACAGCTAAACCTACAATGCACAGGGCAGCCTCCCAAAATAAAGAATCTTCCGGCTCCAAAAGGCAACAGTGCCGCCGTTAAGAAACCCTGGATTAGCTGAATGACCCCGTGAACCGCGAAACCACAGCCCCCGAGAGAGTGGACGTTTGCAGGTGGAAGGGCCGCGCGGATGAGCTGGCGGAGGGCTGGCAGGTCCGGCCCGGCCACCCCGGGGAGGGGTGGAGGTACAGGACCAACATCCGCGTCACGCAGGGGCTAGGAAGTCCTCCAGGGACTCAAAACACCCACCCCCTACTCGCTCCATTCCCTACCTGCACCCGGAGGCCGACAACGGAAACGCAACGTCAGTTTCCGCGGAAGACACCCCGGCTCCGCATCCGCAGCCAGAACGCCTAAGCAGTTCTCGCGATACCCTGGGATGTGCTCTCGCGATACCCTGGGATGTGCTCTCGCGATACGTAGGTGGAGCTTCCGGCCGGTGCTGGGCAACCGAGCGCATGCGCCATAGCTCTTCAGAGAGGGAAGGCTGTACTTAGCAGGTTTCCGGAAGTTGCGGGATGGGCTGTGAAGCGGTCATACCTTGCCGCCTTCAGTCCCTAGTCTCTGGGCCCCCGCCCTCCAGCCGCCTTTGAGTCGTGCCTGGGTCCTCACCCATGCCTCAGAACCGTGAAGAAAGGAAGCTTGCGTGTTTGCTAGAAAACCTAGTTGGGAGTGCGAGGCAGAGAACGTTCAGCACCCTTGTTCCTCCCGAACCCCCGGGACAGAGGCAGGGCTCTGAGGGTAGGGATTCCCCTTCGTCTTGGCCCCACAGCCCAGGCTGGGCACTAAACTCGGGCCGCGGCGGGGCGAGCGAGGCGAGCTCCGGAGGAAGCTGATGCCTGATGATGGCTCAGGTAGACACACCTGCCCCTTCTCGGGGACAGGCGGAAATGAAGTCTTGTTTGTGTTCGTTAAAACTCCTTTCCCCGCTAGGCCTCTTATGGCTTCCCCGGAGGCCACTGGTCTGTTTTCAGACGTTCACGCCTCTGCCCCGCAGGTAACCTGTAACCATTTTGTCTTCTAGTCCAACATGCTCCCCGTGGCTGATGTGTTGAGTCAAGATGAACTGCGCAAAAAGCTATACCAGACGTTTAAGGATCGGGGTATACTGGACACACTCAAGGTATCGGATTTAGGCGTATCTGTGTCATAACTTTTACAAGTGTAACCTGTAACAGGTAGTTAAAATTCAGTCAAGGTTTAGGTTTTAATAATCGTATGATACATAGATTGTAATGGTCAATTACATTTTTATATTCCCGAATAACTCTCTATCCTGAAACATTACAGTCTCTTGAAAACGTTTGAGAAAATGTTGAGTTTGAGTAGTCTTAAAGGAGCATATTCAAATAATTAATTGAATTTGACAGTAAGATAGGAGGAAATGTTTATATAATGAACACAGTAAGATTAGGCTTGTTTTATAAATATGGCTTATAGGTTCCTAAACTAGTAAGTGGATTTGTAAAACAGTTGGATGAAGGACATTGACACCATATAGAAAATACTAGTGTACTGCTTAATAATAGTTTCGGAAATGAAAAATTTCATCTTTAAACTATATTGAAATGTATGAATATTTAATTTGGGCAGCGAATATCTATTAGTATACTTTATATTTGGATTAACAGCCAGGAGTAGGATTAGCTCAGCGTGTTTTCCTTGCAATATGCATTTCAAAAGCATATTTTACATTTAAAATACGTAGATATATCCTGTATATGTATCCTTTTTTAATTTAAATTATATGGTGAGCATTTCCCTGTTTCCTTAAAAGTTTTTTGAAATCTTCATTTTCAGTGGCGACAGGCTTATCTTTGGATATTTTTGTAATGTATATAGCAGTCCCCTGTTGTTGAATATTTTGGTTATATTCTCCAACAGTCCACAGAGGTGTGATGAAGTGGCAGAAATTTTTCCTATACTTAATATCCCAATCGTAAGCTGCTGAAATGGGCTTCTAGGGAAGTGAAGTTACGAGTCTGCAAGCGGATCTGGCTAACCACCCGTTTCATTTGGAAGCTGGGGAAAGAAAGCTTTTTCTAGAACCCACTGGACTGCTTGTCTCACGGGGTAAGACAAAGTGTGCAGGGAAAGGTTCCTAACTTCTGGCCATGGATCTAGAACCATTATGGAAATAGAAGGAAGGTTTCCAATGAATGTGACACATCTGTGTATATCTCTAATGAAACAATCCTGCTGAAATTTCTTTCCCTTGTGTTTGTTTCTTTTTTATTTTTGTTTTTATTTTGCACTAGACACAACTTCGAAACCAGCTAATTCATGAGTTGATGCACCCTGTATTGAGTGGAGAACTGCAACCTCGGTCCATTTCAGTAGAAGGGAGCTCCCTCTTAATAGGCGCCTCTAACTCTTTAGTGGCAGATCACTTACAAAGATGTGGCTATGAATATTCACTTTCTGTTTTCTTTCCAGAAAGTGGTTTGGCAAAAGAAAAGGTAAAGTCTTTCCTTTTCTATTTTTGAATTTTTTATTAACAGGTTCTTCCTCTGCTGACAGTAAAGTGCTGCATGATAGCTAAGTGCTCCTTGACTAGGTCCATTTCTAGTTCCTCTTTGAATTCACGTTGTACCTGCACATAAGATATTTGTTATATAATAAGTGGGTACTAAATTTGAAATTAATTTTTTGGCATCTCATTTAGTCTCATGTAAAATAGTGATATATAGAATCTCTAAATGTTCCAGACCTATAATTGATCTATCCTCTATCTTGTCTAATAAGATTCTGCCAATCTGCTGAATGCCTACTGTAAGCTTGGCACTGTGATAGGCACGCTGCAGATGTTTTGTGTGTTACAGATGAGGAACCAGACGCTGGAGAGGTGAATCAGTTTGCCCAAGCTCAAGTAACTTTTAAGGGGCAATACAGGGTGGTAAATCTAGATCTCTAACATGAGCTCTTTTTTCCTGCACTAGTTTCTTCAGATGTTTCTTTTCTTTGTAATTAGATAAGTGAGAAATATGTAATTTAAAAAATCTGTAAAGTTCTCAAATATTAAAAAGGCTTGTTTTATTTTTTACTACTTTTCTAATTATTTTAACTATATTTCTTCACCATTACTGTTGAACATTAGTACTACTTTATTATTTTAAAGGCAGTTACAGCAGACTTTCCCTGTGGATATGTGCGTGTTTTGTTTTTTTTTTAATAGACTTTATTTTTTCAGAGCAGGTTTGGGTTCACAGCAAAGTTAAGTGGGAAGTACAGAGAATTCCCATATGCCTGCTGCCCCTACACACTCACAGCCTCCCTCACTGTCAACATCTTGCATCAAGGTGGTACATTTGCTACAATCTGTAAGCCTACCCTGACATGTCATTATCACCCAAAGACCATAGTTTACGGCGAAGGTTGCAGTGAGCCGAGATCATGCCACTGCACTCCAGCCTGGGTGGTAGGGCGAGACTGTGTCAAAAATAAAATAAATTTCACTCTTGTTGTTGTTCATATGTTTTTGCTTTCTTTGTGTTTTCTGTAATTATCCAAAAGTTTCATATTCCAAAGTTTTAATGACACAAGAAATACAGTATTTGAGTGAAAACTTAAGTAATTTGCATTTCTTCATAAGCAACCAAATTTTATTTATTGATATTAGGAATTTATTTATTTATTTATTTATTTGAGACAGAGTCTTGTTCTGTCACCCAGGCTAGAGTGCAATGGTGCAATCTTGGCTCACTGCAACTTCTGCCTCCCGGGTTCAAGCTTCCCAAGTAGCTGGGATTACAGGCACCTGCCACCACACCTGGCTAACTCTTGTATTTTTAGTAGAGATGGCGTTTCACCATGTTGGCCAGGCTGGGCTCAAATCCTGACCCCAGGTGATCTGCCTAACCACCTAAAGAGGCGGGATTACAAGTGTGAGCCGTCGTGCCTGGCCTGGAATTCATTTTTGATACATCATTCTCTAACTTTCTAATCACTTTATACTTTTGCTTATTGTATAATAGTCAATTACATAATTATATAGCAGGAATTAATCTCGTTCATACAACTTAACGGTTTCTACTAATGTAAAATGCCCATGCAGAATATTTTCTTTAAAGGAAAACCAATTGAAAACAAATATCAGTGTTCTCAGAGCAGACATAGTGAATGGTATATACTGTAGTAGAAATATATTTTAATAGCTACCAAAAATGTCTAACAATATTTTAAGTATAATTATGGTTTTAAGGACAGTAAAAATTTATTTACATTTTTAAACAATGAATACTTTTTAAAAAATTGTAATTGAATGACCCAGGAACTCAGTCATGTATTCATTGGATATTTCAGTGTCATCTGTAAGGCATTAAACATTTCTGTTAGACATATCATCTTTGATGTGAAGTACTTAGAAGTTAATTACATGGTAGAGATAGTTTGTCCTTTTGACCTTGATATGTTTATAGTAACTTATTTAACTGTAAGAAAGAGCTTTAAGTTTGCTTTATTAGCATAGTTATAATCTTATTTAATCTGAAGGATGTTTCTTAATTTCATATTCAGAAACATCCTAATTTATCATTTAAACACTGATATAACAATATGTCTAATTAGTAACCTTTTTTTTTTTTCTTAAGGTATTTACTATGCAGGATCTATTACAACTCATTAAAATCAACCCTACTTCCAGTCTCTACAAATCACTGGTACGATGGCTCAGTTTCTATAATCTACTTTGGTTTGTTAATTATAACTGAATAGCTGAATAAAAGTAAAATATTTTCTTTTAACAGGTTTCAGGATCTGATAAAGAAAATCAAAAAGGTAGGAGCCATCATCTTTGTAGAGAACAGCAACATTTTTCTATGTACTTTTTTCTCTAAAAGAATTAAGCTAACTTTTAAGGAGAAGAGTAAAATTTAATTTGATTTAAATTACTTGATTTCTGCAGGTCATTTCCCCTATATTTCCATTTTTGTAATAACTTAGATATTCAAATAAGAAAACTGCAGACAGTATCAAAGGCCCTACAGACAGGCTGAAAGATACTGTTTGTAAAAATACCCACTGTTGGGAACATTTCGGCAGGAAAAAAAAAAAAAACCTCAAAAAACTAGTAACTTTTAGGCCAAGTGTCTTTGTATACTAGGTGTCCCTCTCAAGTATAATTGATAGGGTATTAGATGTATTAATATTTCCTTAAAGAATGAGAGTTGTATTCAGTAATGTGTTATATGTCTTTTGTTCTTAAGTGTTTATACAGGCCAGGCGCGGTTGCTCACGCCTGTAATCCCAGCACTTTGGGAGGCCGAGGCGGGTGGATCACCTGAGGTCGGGAGTTTGAGACCAGCCTGACCAACCTGGAGAAACCCCGTTTCTACTAAAAATACAAAAAAATTAGCCACGTGTGGTGGCACATGG